GGGGGGGGGGGGGGGGGGGGGGGGGGTGGAAATCAGGGGTCTTGGAGGGCATCACAGATGCCAGCTGGGAGGGTGGGATCCTCTGGGCATTGCGAGTCTGTCTGAACAGTGAGGAGGTAGAGAGACGATCGAAGTAAGGTATTAATGGGCGAGATCGTAATAGGTGGCCTCTCTGCCTGGAGAACCACAAGTTCAGGTTGTTTTCTTTGGAGCAGAGAAGGCTGAGGGGGGAACCTGACTGAGGTGTAGAAGATCACAAGGGGCACGGACAGGGTGGGTAGGAATCAGCTGTTGTCCTTAGCGGAAAGGTCAATAACAAGGGGACGTCATTTAAGGTAAGGGTGGAAGGATTAGAGGAAAGCGTTTTTCACCCAGAGGGTAGTGGGGGTCTGGAATACACTGCCTAGGAAGGTAGCTCAGGCAGGAAAGCTTACAACCTTCTAAAAAAAAAATTGGATGAGCACTTGAAATATCTTAACATTCAAGGCTACGGGCCAAGTGCTGGAGAATGAGATAGGTCAACACGGACTCGATAGGCCGAAGGGCCTGTGCAGTGCTGTATGACTTTATGGCTCTATAATGAGTGCATAAGGGGTTAGGCAACATGCTGCAGCTCCACAGCTGGGATCTGGTGAGCAGCTCTGAACAGCTCTCCTCCCGAAGTGGGTACTGACTGTGGGAGGGTAGACAGCAGAGATTTGTCAGCAATCGAAGGGTTAGATCACAAACCATGACAAAATCAGGCTCATACTCCTTGGAAGTTATTTTGTAAAAGGGTGATTTGATCGAATCCAAGTTTTTAAAAGTATTGAAGGGGAGGAGATGGGGGTAGGACAGACAGAGAGAGAGAGAGGACCCGTTTTATCCAGGGCGACCAGCAGGCATGGTGTAACAATTACAGTCTGATTTTCCGCTGTGAAAATGGGAAAAGAATCACACAATCACAGCACCCACACACAGATACATGCAAACACAGACACAACCCCCCGCCTGCCGCGCCCCCCCCAACCTCCCACACACACACACACAGCACCAACACACAGATACATGCAAACACAGACACAACCCCACACACACACACACTCTCACAGCACCAACACACAGATACATGCAAAAGCAAACGCAAACACACACATACACAGACAGGCGGTGCGTGGACACAGAGACAGGGACTCCCCTTTACAAACAGCAACCGATGCCTGATTAGTTGACATCAGACCGATGGGTTTGGCACAAGAAGCCAGAGGTAGGACGTAGGTCAGAGATCAGCCGCAGACTCACTGGCAGAACAGGAACGAGGGGCGTCCCCCTCTCCCTCCGTTTCATCGTGTTGCCATCTTTCTCCAACAACAGGTCGAGAGGCTCCTGGTTCAGTCAGTGGGGCCAGGTTGCTCTACCCTCCCACCTCCCATTTTCCAACCATCTCACTCATTCTCTTCCGATCAATACTCCCATGCAGGTGTCACTGGCAAGGGCTGGCATTCGATGCCTGTTCCTAACAGCTCCTGGACTGACAGGCTTGCTGGGCTACTTCAAAAAGGGGGAAAATTAGAGTCAAGCACGTCGTCCTGGGAATGGAGTCGCGTACAGGCCAGACCAAGAAAGGATGGCAGATTTTCTTCCTTAAGGAAACGAGGGAACCGTGAGAGAGACAGAGACTCAGAACCATCCCCGAGGGTAATGCAAATCAGTACAGCCATCACTGATGATAATGCAAACTGGCACAGCATAGCCATCCTGGAGGATAATGCATCTGGGGTGACCATCTGAAGTTGGCGTGAAGGGAGATCCCACACTAGCACCATAGGTACCCTGCAGGAACCAGAAGCCAGGGAGAGTGCAAGGGTTACTTTTGTTATAGGAGAGTGGGGCTTTCATTTCGATTCTAACTTAGTCTGAAGGCAGCGAAGGATCACTAACACCATCGAGCTTTGTGGAAAGTACGTGCGATGCGGCGCAGCGCTGCTCGGAGACAAAGGACAGGAGGATGAAGGTGAAACACTTACTCTCCGGGGCCTCCGCAGTAACAGTAACACTGCTGCTGATTGGCGAGATGCTGGGAGTCCCACTCAAGGGTCCGGAGCTGGTAGGGAAGGACTCGCTTCATGGCCTGCATCGCTTTGGCATAAGGCCCCTTCTTTAAGGCACCTCCTTTCTGACGGGAACATGGAATACACACTGAGTGCTTTTAAACTACACCAGCAAGCCGCTGGATTACCAGAGACCGTACACGCAACTTCCCAATCCGATCGTAATCCAATAGCCCGGATGGACGGAAATACCTCCCGTCAGGCAGAAATCTCAAAGGATTCAATCACCACTCCCTCATTCCCATTCTTTTCCCACAAGAACAATCCTGGCGATCTAAACCCTCCTCCATTTCATAATTAGCAATCACCTTTTCCTGCTTGTCACTCTGCCATCCCCCTTTTCCATTCACTATCCCAATCCCTCGACCCAGCCGCCTCCCTGCTTCACTCGCCCTGCCAAGAATTCCCAGATCGCTTCTCGCTTATTCCCCCTTGTGGAGGTGCCGGTGTTGGACTGGGGTGGACAAGGGTCAGAAGTGACACGACACCAGGTTATAGTCCAACAGGCTTATTTGAAATCACAAGCTTTTGGCGTGCTGCTCCTTCTTCAAGTGAAGTGAAAGGAAACACACATGCACAGAATTTATAGGTGGAGCGATCAAAGGGTCTCATATGCTGAAGTCAAGGATGCCCCAAGGCATGGTATATGGGTGAGACCACATAGATGCTATCCCTTCCAGTCAGGGGACTCTTCAGCGGTCAAGGGCATTCAACTTCTGATCTTCAGGAAAGCATCCTCCAAGGCAGACTTTGAGATATACAACAATGCGGAACTGCCGAGTAGAAACCGATAGCCAAGTTCTGTACCCATGAAGACGTCCTCAACCACCATCCTGAGTTCATGTCGTGCTATATGTGACCCCACCACACTGCATCTGTAAAATTGTCCTTACTGTCCTGTTCTGACACCATCACTTTGATAACTTGTTATGATCTCTCCACCTTAATTAGTTTGTTGGACGACTTGTTACTTTGGTTAGACCCTCGGCATGCGACTCTTATACCCAGCATGCTATTCTTGCCATTTGGTTTGTCTCCAGCACCAGCTTGCGTTCAATTTTTTTGTAATTATCTCTCTGCATCATTTAGTCAGATTATAGGCCATCCCTTCGCTTGCTATTCAGCTGTTGACACTTTACTCGCACCATCTGACACTTTTGATCACCTGCAGAGACATGTTATCCGAAAGCTTGTGATTTCAAATTAAACCTGTTGGACTTATAACCTGGTGTCCTGTGACTTCTGACCATTATATCTTGGAACAGATTTCTCATTCAAAGTACTTGGCTTTTAACGCTACCCCCTTCCCGACTCTCTTCTCATCCAAAGCCAGAAATTTCCACGGGATGCAAAGCTGGGAAGGGATGGGCAGTGGAGATATGTGGAGTGTCAGGATTGTAACACATTCAAGTTAGAGATTCCTCCCCCCAACAATCACTCAACTTCCAGCAACAACAATGAAAACTGGGACGGTCAATGAACTGACGGGCAGGGGGCTGTGATAGGACTATGCCACACTCTGGTTCAGGTGGTGTGTGTTTGGGCCAGAAAATGCCCACCGCAAAGTACTAAACCCCCTCCTGCCCCCGACACCAAAACCAGACCCTCTCCGGTGTTACCAAAACCAACCAGTTGCGTTGCCCCTACCTTGGTGGCTACGGCAAAGATACAGGAGCGGCAGATCCAAGCGGGCAGGATTTTGCCATCAGCCTCGATCTTGGGGGCGTGGCACTCCTGATGGTACCCTGCCGGGACAAAGAGACGGTGGTTTACGTCACATCGAGGTTCTGTTTCTCCTGTTTGTGGGAGCTTACTGTGCGGCCATTCTCCTCGCGTGGAATTGGCGACCAAGCTTCCAAAAAAAAAGGAGAAAAAGCATCGCACCAGCAGCGAAGTGCCGCAAGGATCCTGGTGGCCACGAAGGGTGCTACGTAAATGCAAATCCCTTCTTTATAGGGTGGGATGCTGTTCGGAGGGTCAGTGTGGACTCGATGGGCTGAACTGCCTGCTTCCACACTGGAGGGATTCCATGAGTTCACCCGCTGTAAAAGGGATTCAGGCAGGCAGCAACATCTCCATGTTAGAACCAGCGATGTGTGTGTATGTGTGCGACAGAACAACCCTATTCAAAGGCAGAGAATTCCCTGACTGGGTGCGTATGTCCCACGACTGAGAAAAGCAGCCTCTCAGCAGAATGGGGTGAATTCCTCCGCCTTGCAGATGGGGGTCCTTTTCGTAAATTCATGGCTAGGGCATTCCCGGTGTGAACAGCGTGGGGATAACTGTTATCAGAATGGCATTGCAACCATTTAATTCCAAGGTCTTGCAAAATGACTAACATCAGCATTTTAGACTTTTGAATGGACTTCTCAAATTTCAAACCGAATGTTGATCTTGCTCTCTGTGCACCTTCTCTGCAGCTGTAGCATTGTATTCCTCGCTCTGTTCTATTACCCTAATGCATTTTGTATGGTATGCATGCAAAACAAAGCTTTTCACTGTACCTAGGTACATGTGACAATAATAAATCAAATCAAGTACACTCGAAAAGCACGTCAGATTCAATGCTATCTTTGGGGTAAATACAGGATTCAGAACAAAATGGACATGGGAAAGGAGGAAGGGATGTGTGACTGACTGTGTCACTCTTTGAAAAGAGCTGGTGCAGGCTCAAAGGATCACTTTTTCTGAATAGAGTTAGTGTTCATGAACATGGGAAAAGGTTTCGTTTGTTTGGGGAGGTCTGAACATAGGCTAGGTGTATGGGGGAGTGGAATCACAATTGATGACACACGGTCCATCAAAGACAAATTAAGGCCAAATTCTGTCTCCCTCCCCTCGCATCATCCCTGAATCTTTCCGCCTTCCTCTCCTTGCCTTTCATCGCTCGAAAATGAACCTTATTATTACCTGAACACCAATAAACTGGGAAAGGGGGAAGGTACAACCTGGGTGTCCCTGGACACTAGTCAATACCAGCAGGCATGCGAAGCAGGTGGTGTTGAAGGCAAATGCTAAGCTGACCTTCATAAATGACAGGATTCATGTGCAGGAACAGGAATGACTAGCTGCAACCATACAGGGGCCTTGGTAAGACCACCCCTGGAGTATTCCGTGCAGTTTTAGCCTTCTTATCCGAGGAAGGATGTTCTGGCTAAGGAGGGAGATCGAGCCAGCAGAAATACTTCAGAACCTTGTCGTCACTAGCGAGGCTACACCAGGCTAGTCAGCCGTCGCCAAGCAGTTGGATTCACGGTGCCATGCACTCCTTCCACCCCACCCCCAACCTCCCTCTCCCCTTACCTTGCTTGCATTTTGCACAGTTCACAACTTGGTTGCCCTGACTGGTCGTGTCATCCTTGCAGAGGCAGCAGATGTGCTCAGTCCCAGGGATTGCAGCTAGAACCAAAAACAGACAGCGAATGTCACATACCTCAGCAGACGGTGCTGGAACTGTAGGCAGCGCCAGGTGTGAGCACAGAGCAAGGGCGGCAGGTATCCATCTCACAGAGCAGGATGAATGAGGTTAGCGAGCTGCAGGCACAGAGAGCTGGCTCAGAATAGGACGTGCCAGCCGTAACCAAAGGCTCAAAACAGGGCAGGACGCAATATTAAATACTCCGGGATCCACTGTGTTCACAATGGAGGTGAAAGGGCAGAGGGGTAAAGGGACGACCTGGTTGATGGAGGAGAATATAAGAGTGTGTCTTAGACGGTTCAATCTATATTAACAAGCAAGAGATGCACAAGGCATGAAGGCAGTAAATGTACACTGGCCTTCACAGTTTTACTGCAATTGTGCAAGGTCTTGGTGAGACTCGCTCTTAGAGTACCGTGCAGTTTTGGTCTCCTTATCTGAGCAAAGATGTTCTGGTGATGGAGGGGGTGCAACAAAGATTTACCAGACTGATTCCTGGGATGGCAGGACCAATATATGTAGACAGACTGGCTCTGTCAGAACTTTATTCACTGGGGTTCAGAAGAATGCGGGGGATCCCTCAGAAACCTATAAAATTCTAACAGGACTAGACAGAGTAAATACAGGAAGGATGTCCCTGACGATGAGGGATTCCAGAACCAGGTGGGTCACAGTCTAAGGATATGGGATCATTGAAGACTGGAGATGAGGAGAAATATCTCCACCCAGAGAGTGGGAAGCCTGTGGAATTCTCTACCACAGAAAGTGTTGAGGCCAAAATATTGAACGTTTTTCAAGGAGGAGTTAGTTACAGCTAAAGGGTAGGCAGAGAAAACAGGAGTGGGGCACTGAGTTGGATGATCAGCCACGATCATAATGAATGGTGGAGCAGGCTCAAAGCACCAAATGGCCTACCCTTGTTTCGAACAGATACTGCCATATTACTGGGTGTAGTCTATAAACCAGGAACAAATTGTCTTGGAAATGACACAAGTGAAAATGTCTAGCGTAGGTATAATGAAGGGCCTGACTTAGTGTATAGTCATAGTGTAAATGGCAGAAAGAGGGAAGAGAGTTCATGAAATGCTCTCAGGAAAGTTTTATAGTTGAGTAAGTGTGCGGCCTAATAAGAGATATTCTGGGGACTGAAGTGAGTCAAGGATCAGGAGGCAAACAAAAAAATACCAGGAACAATCCAGAATGAGAAGGCTCAACTTCGCTGGGTTGAATCCAGACCTGGCCCTTTACAGCAGACATAGTTTGGGTTAAAGTCAAGCTCAGGGGTGAGGGCAGGACAAAAACTCAGAACTCTCTGGGTGACAAAAGAGATAAAGAGCAAGATAAGGTAGAAAACAGACAATTCAGGTCACACATCAAAGCAAGAAGTAGGCTGAATACAGAAAGTTTATTCGGACAAACTGAAAAAAAAAATAATGAATGTGCGAGAAGAGACTGACAACTAAACAGGAAAGAGAATCCACACTTTTCCCCCCACAGGTATCTAACCACTGTCCTTATACAGCAAACTTTTTATTAACTGGCACCTATAGGACGAGGAGTGTGCCAGTTAATCAAATATTCTGGATACTCAAGAGATACTCGTAAACACAGCAAAACCTGACTAAGCGAAGCTTCGAGACATCAACATCCCTCAAAACAAAGTAAAAACATCAGTACACCTCCTAAGATCAATGTAAAAACACACAGTAAGTAACAGAAACTTAATACATGGAGTATACACGTCACTATTATACTTTATTTACAGCACAAACACTTGCGACATTGTGGTAGATTGTAGTATTTGATGTATATATTTTTACCAGTTTATCAAGAGTGCTGGTTGATAAGGTGCTGGTTAAAACAAAATTTGCTTTATGTGTTGAGCATACTAAATACCTTTCAGTCCATTCTTTAGATACAGGGACAGTGCCAGAGGATTGGAGAATTATAAACATTACAGCCTTGGTGCTTGCTAGGATAAACCTAGCCAACTCAACGCCGAGTGGGACAGTCCTTAAAAATTGATCAGAAACAATCTTCTGGGATAATGTGGAGTCTGGGAGTGAGGGAGTGTGTGTGGAAAACAGACTGCGTTATAATGGTGAGTGTATAGTGAGGGAGCGCGTGTACAACAGACTGCATTATAACAGGGAGTGTATAGTGAGGGTGTGCGTGTACAATAGACTGTGTTATAATGGGGACTGTATAGTGAGGCAGAGTGTATAATAACAGACTGCGTTATAACAGAGCAATAAAGTACATGCTGAAGTTCCTGAGTGGTTAAGGATTAACAATTGATCTTCCTCACATCTTGGAGCGTTTCCCCTAACAGTAATCACACCATCCCAACTGTAATTATGTGGTAACTTCACTGAGTAGAGTAGTAAAGATAGGCAGGTAGATCCATTAACTATTGTGTTGAAAGATAAGAGTTAATTAAAGCCTATTCCCCCAAGGATTCATCTATAGTTAAAATCAGAATTCTCGTTTGCCAAAAGTAGCTTTGAAGTAAACAACTTCAACTGTTTATGTGAAGGACTGTTTCCCATGGCGTCAGGTGTAGATGTATCATGAGGTGTTTAACAGTGATGGGATTTTGATAAAACATGACATGAAAGAAAGCTATTCTTGATTGTACTCCAACAGACACAATCTAGCTGAGCCAATCACGCTTTTTCCAAAATTGAATAAAGACTGCTCCGAGTAGCACAGGCCTCCAGCGTTGCAGAGAAGAGAGGATTTATTGACAAAGATTTCCGGCTGCCGCTCATCAGGATGATTGCGAGGACACCACATTTCGCACAATCACAACTATTTGGAATACAACAGCATGGGAGGTTCTGCTGGAACCGCACAAAACACTAGTCAGGCCACAAGTGGAGTACTGCATGCAGTTCTGGTCACCACGTTATCAGAAGGATGTGATTGCACGAGTGGGGACTTACCAGGATGCTGCCCGGGCTGAACGATTTGAGTTAGGAGGGAAGATTGGACAGGCTGGGGCTGTTGTCCTTGGAGCAGTGAAGGCTGAGAGGAGGGGACTGATACAGATGTATGAGTTTATGAGGGGCGCAGCTGGGATGGATGGGAACGCACCTTTCCCATCAGTAGAGGGGTCAATACCATGGGGCACAGATTTAAAGAAAGAGACAGAGGGCTAAGGGAGCATCGAAGAGAATTTATTTTCACCCAGAGGTTGATGGGATACTGGAGCTCTCTATCCGAGAGTGCAGTTGAATCAGAAACTCTGGTAACATCGAAGCAGTAATTATACAGTCAACTTGCATTACCATAACGTCCAGGACGATGGGTCAAAACCTTGAGAACGGGATTAATGTTGGCTGGCATGGTCATGATGAGCTGAGTGGCCTTCTCTGTGCTGTAAACATGTATGAGTTGAATCAATACCACAGGAGAAAAAGGTGCTGATTGGCTACATTGTCGCTAAGGAGAAACATGGGCAGGCTCCCTAATCTCTGGAGATTTTAAAATGCCAAAGGGATTAATGAGGAACTTGAGAAGTTCCAGTGCTGTGTTTGTTTTCTATGACACAACCTCAGCTCATCAGCACTGATTCACTAACAGTATCCCACAGTATCGATTCTTGTGACTGTTTGAAATTTGGCATTCTTGCTTTTGTCCTGATGAGTGGAAGACAAAAAACATCAGCAACATGCGTGTCTCTCTCTCTCTCTTCAGTGATATCCGCAGTCTGTTTCGTTTATTCGATTATAAGGTGCCCATATTTTACTCAAAATGTATCACTGTCAGCCAAAGGCAGGATGGTTGACTAACAGCTGTATGTTGGTCACTCAGATACTCACGGGGATAGATGTCTTTCCACATGACCCAGAACTCAGAGTTGTCCTCAAACCGAACAAGGCAGATATGCTTCCACCGGTCCACCTAAAACAGCCAGGGAGAAACGGAAAGGAGAAAGTTAGAAAGAGGCCATAAAGTGGGATCTACAGACCTGACAACATCAGCATGGGCTACCCTTCAACTCCCTCACAAAGTTCCATTTTCTACACAAGGGAAAAAGAAGCAGAAGATAGATGTGGGCAAAGAAAGGTATTTGGTCTCTGTCCATCATTTCAATCCATTGATCCCACGTTCCCTCTCTCAGGGAGGGAACACCAAATAGTCATCATTGACAGCTCCCTCCCGAGCAAAAATGTGGGTCTAACTACAGCAGAAATGGACTGCAACAGCTCATGAAGGCAGCTCACCACCACTTTCCACAAAGGGGGCAACTAGGGATGGGCAATAAATGCTGGCCCAGCCAGCAACAACCACATCACAGGAATGCATAAAAAAAAAACTTTTAAAAAGTTGTATGTGACTGCGGAGGATGGGAGAGAGTTCTTAGTGAGTACATTGTCCCTGCCTTCACAATGGATGGGTTAAAGAGGTGAAGGGTGAATATCAGATGGAAAGCAAGCATTATAAGAAGGGAATTACTGGATGGAATGGCTTCCTTGAAGGCAGATAAATAACCAGGGTCAGATTGAATTGTATTCCAGGTTGTTAAAAGGAAGCTGGGGAGGATATAGAAGATGCTCTGAAGATCATTTTCCAATCGTCACTAGATACAGGCAAAGTACCAGAGGATTGGGATGTCTGGAAGTATACAATCATTTAAAAAGTGTGCGAGGGATAGTTGAAATAATTATTGGCTGGTAGGCAAGAGACTAAAATGAATGTTGGGTGATAGGATTAACTGTTACTTTAAAAGGCATAGATTAACCAGGGACAGTAAGCATAGACTTGTTCAGGGTACTTGGGGTTTGGAGTTACTCTTTAATGCCACACCTCCCTCTGCAGGTATTGCATAGGACCTGCAATTCAGAAATCATTGAGCTGCGTCCTTCAGTATCTTGACCCATGACTATAACCTTCTACTCGTTTCTTTCTCATGCACTCATCCAGCTTCCTCTTAACTAGGTCTATAATTTACATTTCTCAATGGCAGCAAGTTCTCTGATGTAAAGAAAAGCTTCTTTAATATTTTCTTTTGGAGTTTTTGTTGACTGTTTTATGTCTGTAGCCCCTAGCTCTAGGACTTTCCCCTAAATGGGAAATATTTTCTCTTACGTCTACCCTTGCATAACCTTTCAGAATCTTAAAAGTCTCAATCAGGTCAGCGATGGTGAGGGCTCTTTTTGGGCTAGAGCCCTATCACCAGCAGTTTTCCACAGGGATTGGTGATGGGTCCACTTTTGTTCGTGACTTATAAAAATGATTTGGATGAGAATATAGCAAGCATGGTTAGTACGTTTGCAGATGACACCAAAAGTGGTGGTACGGTCGATAGTGAAGAAGGTTATCTAGAATTACAAAAAGAGTTCTTGGTCTATTGGGTCAATGGGTGAAGAGTGGCAGATGGAGTTTAATTTGGATAAATGCGGGATATTGCATTTTGGCAAAACAGCCAAAGGCAAGACTTATACAATTAAAAGTAGGGCCTTGGGTAGTGCTGTAGAACAGAGAGACCCATGGGTTCAGGTACATAGTTCTTTCAAATTTTCATCACATGTAGATAGGGTAGTTAAGAGGGCATTTAACACAGTCTTCATTGCTCAGACGTTTGACTTTAGGAGTTGGGACATTGGTGAGATCTCTCCTGGGGTACTGCATCCAGTTCCGGTCTCCCTGTTACAGGAAGGATATCAAGCTGGAGAGGGTTCAGTAGGGATTTACCAGGATGTTGCTGGGAATGGAGGGTTTGAGTTATAAGGAGAGGCTGGGACATTCTTTTTCACTGGACCGTAGGAGGTTGACAGATGACCTTATAGAGGTTTATAAAATAATGAGGGCTATAGATAGGGTGAATGACAGATCTCTTTTCTCTAGGGTGGGGATTTGAAGACTAGGGGACATATTTTTAAGGTGGGGAGAAAGATTAAAAAAAGTCATGGGGCACAATTTGTTCACCCAGAAAGTGGTTCATGTGTGGAATGAGTTTCCAGAAGAAGCAGTTACAGTTACAACGTTTAAAAAACATTTAGACAAGAAGTGTTTGGAGGGATAAGAGCTGTATGCAGGCAGGTGGGACTAGTTTAGCTTGGGATTGTGGTCAGCATGGATCGGTTGAATCAAAGGGTCTGTTTCCGTGCTGTATGAATCTATGACGAGGTTAGCCCTTTGCCTTCAATTTCCCAGAGAATGAAGACTGGATACTGTTAAACACGAGAGGGTGTAGAAAAGATTTAGAAGGACATTTCTGGGACTGGAACATTTGAGCTATGGGAAGAGGCCGAATAGGCTGGGGCTATTCCCTGGGGCACTGGAGGCTGAGGAATGACATTATAGAGGTTTATAAAATCATGAGGGGCATGGATAGGGTGAATAGCCAAGGTCTTTTTCCTAGAGTTGGAGTGTCCAAAACGTGAGGGCATAGGTCTAAGGTGAGAGGCAAAAGATTTTAAAAGGACGAGAGGGGTAACTTTTTCCCCCCACGCAGAGGGTGATGCATGTCTGGAACAAGCTGCTAGAGGGAGTGGAAGAGGCAGGTACCTTTCAAAAGGTGAAAGGTGAAAGTTCCTAACATCCCCACCATCCAAAACAATGATACTTTCCCCAAATTCACCCACCCCCGACTCCCGAGCCACCCCACCCCCACCAACGCCAGCATCAGATAAATAGCCTTCACCTTCCGAATGTTTCCCAGGTAGAGTAAGCCATCAGTCCACCGGGCCAACACATCCTGACCTTCCCACAGTTGTGTCTTGGCAGTGGCACGGCTCGCTCGCGCTCTCAGTTTGCTCGCTGTTGCCAAGGGGCTGTTTCTTTTGACCTTTGAACTTTTCCCCACAGGCCCACCCTCCATGGTCTTTGGCAGGAAGTGGGGTGGGCCGCTATCTAGGGGAAGAAGCAGAGATGAACAATGTCAGAAAGCAAAGGAAGAAACAAGGCTAGAGACACTTTGTGAGAGGAGGCCATGTCAAAAATACACCTGGGGGGGATTGACTAAAAAGGGCCACAACTATTGGCCTCGCTCACTCTGATTAAAACGTGACTCCAGATCCACAGCAACATTAACTGACCTCTGCAAGTGGACTGGGCCATTCAATTTCAAAGGCAACCGGGAATGGGCTACAAACCCTGCTATCGCTGGCCATGCCCTCATCCCATGGAAGACTAAAGTAAACTTTACGCACAAACAGTACGGGCTGATGTTGTGCCAATTTAATGCAAACTTGCTGAGCGAGGGATGTTCCGAGGAAAGAGTCACTGGACCCGAAACGTTAACTTTGATTTCTCGTCACAGATGCTGCCAGACCTGCCGAGCCTTTCCAGCAACTTCTGTTTTTATTTCTGACTTGCAGCATCCGCAGTTCTTTGGGTTTTTAGCAAGAAAAATAAAACCACCCCACGAAGAAAATGGTCAAACTCCCAGGGTCATCCAAAAACACAAACAATACAGGCACACAATGACGTCTAATACAGCTCCCTTACCCAATCTGGTCACGGGCTGTGGTATTCAGTGATAAATGGCTCTAGTCTTGTTTTTGTAAAACTTGGTTCATTCCACACAGAATGAGTAGTGAATCATTAAACAGATAAAAACACAAATATTTTACCCGTTACATCCGGTTCTCCATTCTACTGCTGCTTAAGGCATGGGGAAAATCAAGGTTCGCATCTATATAGCACCTTTCCTGACGACAGGATATTTTTACAGTTGGAGTAAGACTTGCAAAGGTTTATGCATAGCCATTTCCCACAAACACAACAGGCTGATCCGTTTCTCAGGATGTTGACTGAGGATCACTTATTGGCCACGATGCGAGGGGGAATTGCCCAGCTCCTCCTCGAAGGAAAGTCAGGGGATGATTTACGTTCAACCAAGGGGACAGACCCCACTGCATACGCCCCATCGAACTGTTCCCAGGGACAGCACAGGGTTAGATATGGGTACAGCTCCCTCTGCACATGCCCCTTCAAATACTCCCAGGGCCAGGCCAGCACGGGGTTAGATTCAGAGTCAAGCTACCTCTACATTGTCCCCAAACATTCCCTGGGCTGGGATGGCATTAAACTTCCTCTACACTATCCCAATGTGTCTTCATCCAACGACAGAACACTGCTCTACTCCACACAATAGGTTTCTTCCATACAGAAATGGGACATCATCTTAATAGGGTTTGTACAGACCTTGACATCTGGTTCTGACAATTATTACATGATTATAAGTTATTTCTAACGGAACACCGCAAGGGGGGGAGCTACAGAGTTGTTTGTTCGGTGAAATCGCTTCGACACCTTTGACCTACAGGAGTCCTAGACCAGCTCGACCCCACGGCCACCTCACTCTGCCCTCACTGCCTCTGCCAAGCTTTCAGTCGACTGCCTGTCTCCTTCCTCCATCTCCTCAAGTGCCTCCTCCAACAGGGTCTCCTGAGGTAAGGGTCAAACCTTACACCCCGCCCACCCCCGCAAATCAGCTGCTCACCACTGTCAACGTTCCTCAGCGACAGTGGAGATTCGATTTTAACAGAACTCCTCCAGGGCTGAGGGACTTCAGCTTCCTGGGGCGACTCTCCATTCAGCAGAGGTGGCCAACAGGAGATTGAGGAAAGGCACTCAGAACATTGTGGCAACGTGGTTTTCTGACACAGTAGAACCAGGAAGGGGGTGAGGATGGGGAGTGAAATCTGTTTGCAGTGGCAGGGGACAGTAACCAGACGGCACAGACTGAAGGTGACTTGCACGCAAACCAAACGAGGATTTCTCGCCCTCCCTTCGGTGAGTTTCTGTGGTCGGGGATGCACAGTCCAAACAGAGATCCAAATTGTATTTCTCGTAAGACAATTGTGTACATACGGAATGGGAAAAGGGTGGAGTCAGAAAATGCAGGGTGATGGGGAAAGAGCAACGGAGAGGGTCAGAGGTGTGTGTGTGAGAGAGCGCGAGAGCGAGCGCGATTAATTGGGCAGGTTATGCAAAACGTTGGGCCAAATGGCCTCTTGCGCTGCACAATTCTCTGGTGCACTGTGTGAGAATTTAACGTTCAGTCAGTGACATGTGATTGCACAACATGCCAACTGACAACAGGACACTCACATTGAGCTGGGGATCCACTGGGTTAAAAAAGGGGATCCGCTCGAGGTCGAATGAGGTCTTGTCTTCCCTCAGGTTGGCATCTAGCAGCAACTTTCCTGCAGGGTACGCAGTGCGGATCTTGGTACAGCGGGTACATTACGTGGTACAAACACGGACGTCCTCAGAGCTGTGGAGAGTAAACAAGATCAATAAACAAAGTGGGAGTGTAGTGAGAGTGAGACAGACAGGGAGGGAGGGCGGGCGAGAGAGAGGGAGGTGTACCTATACGCTCCAGCATATGACTTCCAATTCACAACTTACATTCAACTGACTGTGATAATCTAAATTCTGGGCTCCACGTTAAGTAAAGAGGGGGACCGGAGAAAGTGCACGAGAAAGATTTACAAAAAAAAAACCACAGCAAGGCAGCATGATTAGGACGATAAAATTATCAACGAAGACAGAACGAGCCAGGGCTCTAGAACGGGAGATGGCTTGAGGGGGCGACCTACTAGGCAGCACCTTTTCTCCTCGTCCTGAGCCCATTTTAAATTTCCGACTGTTGTGATAACTTTGACGGATGGCCATTGCCCCTTCAGAGCTAGTGGCACCACAATCTCAGCTTGGGGGTCCTGAGACCCCCAGCTCCCTTCCTCCCACTCTGGGAAGCCCCTCGAATACAGCCCTCTGATCGTAGGGAAAGGTTTGTTCAGGCAAGCTTTTGCTGAGACGACTTTCCAGTGGGGTGGCTAGGAAAGGGGCATGGTGAACCGCTGATAAATCCAATTGGGCATTCCGGAGAAATTTCCTGACCCGGAGGAGGGAGGGGGAAATCTGGAATTGGCCACGATAAAGGGAGTGGTATCCCAGAGAGATTTCAGCATTGCCGAGGCAGGGAAGAAGAGAAGCTGCTGATGTACGGAAGTGAGGGAGTCGGTTTGCATCAACCACATCAGTGGGCACAAGGTTCTGTATAATTCCAGGTAAGCTGGGAGCATCTGGGAGATAAATGAACCTATTTCATTGGTAGACAGGAAACACAGGCAAGTCATATGCAATGATGCACTTACGACAGCAGAAAATACACAAGGTGCTTGCCTTCGAGTCTTGCTGATTTAAAGACACGATGACAGGCAGACACAGAGCTGACTGACGGACGCCAAGTGGATTATTGTCAGAAGACTTCCCCTCTTGACCTATCCATTCAGAGATTGTCCATCATGTGCTCTTTCTGTCACATACCACTAAAACCATTAATGTGGCAACACTGCACCACATTTACTCCACTCTCACTGGAACCTGCCCTTGTCTGGGCGGCACTTGAAAAGGGTGCACCCACAGAAGACCCCTCCCCCACCCCACCAACTATCCCCAGGTGACCCAATGCCAGCAACCTAAAAATGTGGAGGCCATCGCACAAGGGAACAGCCCAGATCCACTCGCACATGACACAACCAGACCAGCTCCCCACCACCAACACCACCCCCCACCAAGATCTCCACACATACACACAGCATGGTGGTACTGTCACTGGATTAGCATCTAGAGACTCAGGTTTGAATCCCACCGCAGTGGACCTTGAATTCAATTTTTAAAATTTGAAATTACAAAGTCTAACAATGACCACTCTTGAACGTGATAAGAATCCCTCTAGTTCACTTATGTCCTTGAATGATGGAAATCTGCCTTCCTTTTACCTGCACTGCTCTACACATGACTCCAGTCTCAGGGATCATTGAGCAGCGAAGCAGACTCAATGGGCTGATTGGCCTCGTTATGCTCCTACATCTTACGGTCAATGAGGTTGACTCTTAATTCTCTCCGAGACGGCCCTGCAAGCCACTCAGTCGTGTCAACTGAGGAAACATCTCTAAACAGGAGTCAAACTGGACAGACCACGTGGCATCAACCTAGAAACAGAGAACAACATTGGGGAAGGATCAGCCCTGCCGACCCTGCAAAATCCTCCTTACTGACATGTGGGAGCTAGAGCCAAGACTGGGAGAGCTGTCTTCCAGACTAGTCAAGCAACAGCCTGACACTGTCTGTAAGGTACTGTTCCATGAGTATGATTTTGTCCCAGACACCATCACCAGGACAGACCCAGCCGTGGGACACAGTCGGGAGGGAGTCCTCAACATCAACTCTGGACCCCAAGAGGTCTCATTGCATCAGCTCAAACAAGAAACCTCCTGCTGATTACCATGTATTGTCCTCCCTCAGCTGATGAATCAGTACTTCTCCAGGTTGGAGGAAGCAATGAAGTGGACAGAGGATTTCAATGGCCACCACCAAGTGTTACTCGGCAGTGGTACTACTGATCGAGCTGGTTGGGTCCTAAAGGCCATAGCTGCTAGACTGGGTCTGCAGCAGGTGGTGAGGGAACAATGTACTTGACCATTATTAACATTACATGCCATCTGCCTATCTTTGTCCACTCACTCAACCTCTCCATATCCATCTGCGAATTCTGGGTCTCCTTCACTTTCCTACCTACCTTTGTATCATGTGTACTTAGTGACCATGCCTCCACTCCCTGCATCAAAATCATTCATAGAAAATCGAAAACATGGAGGCTCCACGGAACGCCACTCATCGCAAGGTGCCAATCAACCAAGGACTCGTTTCTGCTACTCTGTTTTCTGCCAGCAAGCCAATCCTCCATCTATACCAACATGTTACCCGACACACACAGGACAATTTTGGTGCATGTCCGCAATGCCACCTGGGAGTTGGTATACACTGCTACCGCTGTGGGTGATGGAATACTCCCTGGACGAGAGTGAAGCTCCAACAACACTCAAGAAACTTGACACCATCCAGGACAAAGCAGCCTGCTTGATTGGCACTACATCCACATGAGCTTTTAGTTTCTGTGATAACTTTTGATATGGCAGCTTTTTAAATGTCTCTGGATATCCAAGTACATTACATCTACAAAATCCCTTTATTTATTATTCATATTCACCAGGGAATGTGGGTGTCGCTGGCTAGACCAGTATTTATTGGCCATCCCTAGTTGCAGTCTACCTGCTGTGGGTTGACCCACAATGCCCTTTGGGAGGAAATTCCAGGATTTTGACGCAGCAACATTTTAGGAACGGCAATATATTTCCAAGTCAGGACAGTGAGTGGCTTGGAGGGGAACTTGCAGGGGTTGGTGTTCCCATGTATCTGCTGCCCTTGTCCTTTTGGATAGAAGGTGCTGTCTGAGGATCTTTGGTGAATTTCTACAGCGGATCTTGTAGATAATACACACTGCTGCTACTGAGGGTCTGTGGAGGAGGGAGTGGATGTAGTGCCAATCAAGCAGGCTGCTTTGTCCTGGATGGTGTCAAGCTTGAGTGTTGTTGAAGCTTCACTCTCGTCCAGGGAGTATTCCATCACCCACAGCGGTAGCAGTGTATACCAACTCCAGGTGGCATTGCAGACATGCACCAAAATTCTCCTGTGGGTGTAGGGGTGCGTGCAAGTGTGCGTATCTACATCCGTGAGAGTGGGTCTGAGGTGGGTGTCTCTCCCTGACTCCCCTGTGGGTCCAGCCCATTGCTTCCCTTCCACCCAAGCCGAGGAGGAAAGGTTGGTGCTGGCTGACAGACTCATCGCCCGAAAATAACTCCACAGCAAATCAGAGACAGAACAGGATGGTCACTCCAGAAAACTGGAAGAGGTAAGGAGTCAGACTAGCCATCATCGCAGCGGACGGGAATCTCATTGGAAACCAGGGCGAATCTGTGTTTATCCCAGCAAGCTGTCGACGGCCTCCCCACTTTATATAGAGAAAGGAGTCAGGTAGTGACCCACTGCACGGCACTATGAGGGAAACAACTGAACGCAGAGGGAGAGATGAATTCCGCGTACGTGACTGGCTCTGGTTGGTGCAAGAGGGCTGGGGTGTGGCAGGGGGGAGCGGGGATGCTGGGGGAGGAATATGGCTGACCGACAGAGTCAGACAGAGGGTTGAACAGCACGGTTGGGGGTGGGTGCGCGTGAGCAGGCTAGTCCAGGGCCTGGGGCCCAGGCAGCTGAAGATACAGTCGCCCTTCGGCAGAGGGGTGTCTAACATTGCGGAGGCTACAGAGGCCAGAATCAAGGGAGGTTGGAGACCGGTCCGCACGCATTCGAGTAGAATACAGAGACCTCTCCCCTCAAAAGGGCGAGCCCCTTCATAAATTAGAGTGGGTCTCAATAAGAATCCCCACTCGACAACAAAGTGGGCTGTCTCCAATTCTCCAGTGTCCCCTACCGGATGTGGGGGGGGAAGAAAGGGGGCAAAATTCCCTCTGAAAGACACAGGGTCAAGCTGACAGTAAGATACACAAACCTGTTCATGGAGGAAACACAGCTCTGGAAGTAGAGGCAGTGGGTGAGAAAGAGTGGGGGGACGGTCAGCTCTCCCACACTGGTTAATACCAGGGGCATTCATCATCTCTGCCAAGGCAGCATTGCCCACCATCAAGTTTGCCTTCCAGCTCGCTCGCTCTCTGGGCTGTTCCAGTCAAGTAAGGACAGAAGTTCCTATCGCTTTACTCCAGCTGGTGTGCAGACACTTCCGACGATCCCACGCCACAACATGTCAGGGCACAACAGCAAATGTAACAGAACTAATTACCACTTAGGAAGTCCAGAGGCAGCACCTTTCCACAACCAACACCCAGCCACAGATACAACCTCACAGCGACAATGAAACAGGAACTGGAGGAGGATGCCATTCAACACACTCCCAAACCTCAACCACCACATCCCCATTGAATTATATCACATTGTGAACCCTCTGTAACATTTCTCCCCCTCCCTGTCCTCACCTTACGAAAACCTGCCACTCTCAAGCCTTTTCGGTGGGCATTCCAAATTACTGACACCTTTTACGTCCAGGCGTGGCTCCAGGTTTTACTCCTGAACAGTCCGGCACTAATTTTCAGGCTGTCCTTCAGCCCCCCACCCACCTCCTGTCTCGTTCCAGGCTCCATCCCACTCCAGTCCCACCAGAGGAAGCAGGTTCTCCAGAGCTGTGGCCGTTAAAACTTCCCAATCGCCAGATAGCCCTCAACCAGCTACACACACACACACAAAATCTATCATTGAATCTATTCCGCGCACACCCCACCTTCACGTAACCCCACCCTACCCCACCCCTGGTCAATAAATCCTCCCTCCCAGTACTGCACACATTACCCCAGACGAAGCCCAATCAAGGCTCTCTTCCCCTGGAATCATCACTCCCCCCGTCCCACCAACAACCACTGCCCCCCCACCACCCCACAACTTTGTGGCCTCCCCCTGACCTGAGATAAGCAGGTCAACGTCTCACTAATCTTCCCGAATTCTTTCCGGGCCAAGTTAATCCAGGCTCTTCCTCCCCAGGTTAAGGTTTCCTGCTGCTCCAGTAGAGAAGGGAGTTCAGATGTTGTTGCACTGCAGCCTATTTCAACAGTCGCTCCATTTGTATAGTGCCTTTAACATGGGAAATAGGAGCAGGCCATTCAGCCCCTGGAGCCTGATCCACTATTCAACACGACAGTATCTAATCAAGGCCTCACATACCCATATCCACTGATACCTTTAACATCTAAAAATCTGTCAATTTCTGCCGCAGACATACTCAATAATTGCATTACCACAGCGCTCTGGCAGAAAGATTCCAAAGATTCACTATATTCTATGATATTCTACTCTCCAAGTGTAGACACTCCTCATCTCGGTCCAGAATGGACAACATTTATTCTAAAAGTGTGGCCCCCTGGTTCTGGGGTCTTTCTCTCAGATTTTAAGGAGTAGTTCAAGAATCATAAGTGTGGAAGCAGGCCATTCGGCCCATGAAGTCCACACCTACTTTCTAAAGAACATCCCACCCTATCCCCATACCCTTGCATTTCCCACGGCTAACCCACCTAGCTGGCACATCCCTGAACACTATGGGCAATTTTGCATGGCCAATCCACCTAACCTGCACACTCTTGGACTGTGGGAGAAAACCCATGCAGACATGGGAAGAACGTGCAAACTTCACACAGTCAGCAGAGATTGGAATTGAACCCGGGACCCTGGCACTGTGAGGCAGCAGTGCTAACCACTGAGCCACTGTGCCACCCCAAGAAGACAATATAAAGAGGTCTAAGAGCGTGGGGACTAGGTAGCTGAATATAAGGAAACAGATGATGTTTAAAGTCAACCATTTTAACAAGAAATCATAATGGAGGAGGGTCTAGGGGCTGGAGGGGATTACAGTGATAGGGAGGGGCAAGGCCAATGAAGAATTTTAAAATGTGGAAGGGAATTGTAAAATCTGGATTTTACTTGACTGCCCCCTCGTGTAGGTCAGTGAGCACAGACACGAGGGAGCTTCAGGACTGGTTATTGAAAACAAATCATCAAACCCATTCCTTCACAGAAAAACTGTGACTGCTATTCACAATGATCGTGAGGCAACACTTACTGTGTTCAACTTTGGTTAAGGGATACAGAAATAATTAAATATTCAGGCCTGGATCAACGTAATTAGGACAGGGTCCAGCTCCACTGCAGCCCACGAGGAGACTGAAAGGAAACAGGACAGGAACCAATCAACCCAGGAGTTTAATTGCCTGTAAAGTGTAACAAGGAGAGGGCCAAAGAAGCAGGGCTCCTCCACTGTCCCATCAAACACAGTCACACACAGAGTAAGACTCCTCTCTACATTGCCCCCAACAATCACTCCCAAGGCAGACTGCAGCATGGGGACAGATATGGAACAAAGCCTCTCTGCATTGTCTGGATCGAACACTCCTAGGACAGGGATTGCACAGGGTTAGATACAGAGTAAAACTCTCTCTATACTGTCCCCATCCAGCCAGCCCAGGACAGGGACAGCGCGGGGTTAGATACAGAGTAAAAGGTCCCTCTTCCTTGTCACTGCACAGAATACTGAAGATGTGCCAAGAATCATGCATCGAACATATTAGAACTAGTCCCCTCCAGATGACTGAATCACTTTTAACACTAATAAATTTTGAACAAGTGAACGATCCGAATTAATTACTGACACTAATACAGCAAAGCAGGAATGGGGCATCACGCAACTTGAACCATCAGATATTTTCACAGCAAGGCCTGGCATTTACAATTAAACAGCTCAATGACCAATCAAATCAACATGTCTTTGTCATCATTTATCTCAAACAGCTAAAATGTCTTAAAGTTTTCTTTTTCAGCTCAGCCTTACAAGATGGCTAACTGATTACAAGCAGATGTATAAGGGGATTGGCTCAGAAGCAAAGTGTACAGTATCTCTAAATGGATGGGAGTTAGGTTTGACAAATATTAATTGGTATTGATAAATTAAACTTAAACTAAGTCAGGATGGTGAATCCACAGAATATCAATAGCTTTACCCAATAATATATTAAGAACTGTGTACACTTTCTGCCTTTTATTTCTATGTACAGGCATCCACAAACTCTTAAATGCATACCTGTAATACGAATTGTCTATGCTAAACTGCCCTTTCCTCTATTTCTTCTAAGAATGGGAGGCACCTTCCCACACCATATTCTACCAATTTCAAGGTTAAAACCTTTCAATTAGCCTTTTATAGACTCCCCCCTTGGGTATGGGTGTCACTCACTGGTAACATTTATTGCCCTTCCAAATTGCCCTCAAGGTGGTGAGCTGCCTTCTTGACCCACTGCAGTCCATGTGCTGTCGGCAGATCCACTATACTGTGAGGGAGGGAATTCCATGATTTTGATGGAACAGCGATATATTTCTAAGTCAGGATGGAGAGTGGCTTGGAGGGGAACTTGAAGGTGGCAGTGTTCCCATGTATCCACTGCCCTTGTCCTTCTCGAAGGTAAAGGTCACTGAATTTGCAACATGCCCGCAAAGGAGATTTGACAATGCATCTTGTCGGCGGCACACATTTCCTCCACTTTGCCCTGGAAGTGGAGGGAGCGGATGCTTGTGGATGTGGTGCCAATTAAGCGGGGGCTGCTGTTTCCTGGATTGGTGTCGAGCTTCTGAGTGTTGTTGGAGCTGCACCCATCCAGGCAAGTGGGGAGTATTCCATCATACTCCTGACTTGCAAGTCTTAAACTCTTGTCTCACTGCCTTTTGGCGGTGGGAAGGAGGGGGAGGGGGAGTGAGGGGGTGTCGAATTTCCACCATCCATTGAAAAATTGCCCCCTTATGTGCTGGACTCCCGACTCTACTCACCCTGATCATTTTCAACGCTCCGAGTAGGATGCTGCTTAACTTCCTGTGTCGAAGGGAACGCACACATACTTTGCAAGCTGTCCACAGAGCTTAACCCTTGCAGACCCAGCATCAAACCAGTTGATTCTATGCTGCATACCCTCTCTGAGGCCTGTGTACACCCTATATCCTTTTTGAATTGCAACGAGCAGCGCTGGCTGGCCACAGTATCTGAAAGTGAGTGTGTGTGTGTGTTTTGGGGGAGGGGTGGTGGTGTCTCTATTCAAGTCTTCAAATGCAAATCAAAACAACGAGGTGGGCACCCCAGTCCAAGACCTTTCCCTTCCAAAGGCACTGAGCTGCATAACACACATTCAAAGCGAGAGGCAGGTGGGCGTGTGCCTTGTGGCTGTTCTGCAGAAGGTATCAACCCCCTTTCCCTTATGAGGGCCTGAGCGGATTGCTGAAGCAAACTCAACGGGGAGGGGAGAACGTACAGTATGAAAAACCTCAGCATCCTTCCACCTCTCCCCCACCCCCCACCAACTCCTCCCTAACACAACATGCTGCGAGAGAGAGAGAGAGAATTAATTAGGAACAGGCTTGCTCCTGTATGACACACACGTAGGGTAAGAGGGAATGATGTGGGTGGAACGTAGCATACTTTTGGCGGTACAGACTCAGACGGGCCGAAGGGCCGCTTACTGAACTGTCTGATTCCATCGGCCCCAAATCTGCCCTCGCCAGTGACTTGACGATCCCCGAGGAAATCAGACATTCCGCTGGAGACGAGAGGAAATGATACAACATTTTACTGTTCCGCAGATCTAGCGATTTTAATGTGTGTCCCCCCTCACGTCTGCTGAAATTAACCTCTCCCTCCTGCTCCCATTTTTTTTGCACACCGACTATTTTTTATCTCGTTCTCTGTTTGTAAAGGTGAACGGGTGGGGGGATTTGGGAAGGGAAGGGTCATGTATGAGGGAGAGTGTTGAGAAACTGACCCCCAGTTGCTTACACATAACAGGGCATGTTGCTGCAGTTTTCTCTCTCCCTCTGGCCCAGCGGAGGAAGTTACAAAAAAAAATTGCACAGAGGGCTTGATCCTGCCGTTTCTCTGGGGCATATTTTTCCTTTTTTTTAAACCTCCCCAAGACGATAGGATCCCACCCTATCCCTCCCCGCTATCTGTTACAGTAAACACTCACCTGCAGCAGCTGGGTCCACACCCAGTATGGACTGCGGGAGTTTCTCTCCTGGAACAGTCTCTGTGTGTGTGTGTGTGCACTTGGCTCATTCACAGTGAGGTTTTCAACTCAGATAAACACATACAACACGTCTCCAACAGCTCTGCCAGTCGCCATCTTCCTGTGACGCAGACTACAGCTAATTTCGGTCCACGGATTGAAATTCAATCGGGGTGTGTGTGTGTGTGAGAGAGAGAGAGAGACAGGGAGAAATTGTGTAAACAAGTGCGCGTTATGTTCGCCACACATTTAATAGGGTTCATATCTTCCGCCCTGTTGACAGCAGCATGATTGAGTTATATAACACCCAGTAGGAGTACAATAAATAATCAGGGCTGATTTATTTTACAAAATAATAAAAACACATGCTCCTCAGAAACCGTTTAGAACCACTCTATATTGCAGACTGCACACAACTTTGTGGGATTTGCATTTCGTTCGCCAGGGAAGAAAGGATTAGTGATGAGGCTGAATGGGTTGAAAGAACTTGACTTCGGTGCAACATTTCCCAGCCCTACCCCTACCCCACCCCGTCTCTAGGGCACTTAGTTGAATTCTGAGATTTCTCTCCCCTAGCCTCATAAATGCTTCAGCTTTGAGAGTGGAGTGTTAACCTGTTTTGTAAAGATCGTGAACTTATCGAGACGGGGCTTTGTCGGGCATGTCTACTGAATTTTCTTTTGCTTTGAAAGTCCGCCCGTGCACGGGAAGATCCCACAGGCAGAAAGTGAAGACGGCGTTGAGTACTTTGCAACATTTTATGTGAATGGACGGCATAGGGGCGGGGGGAATTTATAAGGTGACGAGGAAAAGGTGGGAAAGCTGTTTGGCATTTCTATCAAAGAGCTAGTACAGGCACGATGGCCCGAACAGCCACTTTAATCGTTCTAACGATGGGTCACTGACCACGAAACGTTAGCTCGACTTTCTCTCTCTTTCTACAGATGCTGCCCGACCTTCTGCGTTTCTCAGCCATTTTCTGTTTTTTTTCAGATGTCCAGCATATTTGTTTTAGTTTATCTCCCCAACCCTAGTTCTTCTTTTGCAAAACGCTTTAAATCCGTGCCCTCTCGTTCCTGACGCTTTCAACAGTTCTGGGTCCTATCCAGATTATGAGAACCTCTCTCAGATGCCCCCTTTTAGCCTTCTTGCAGAGAACAGCCCCAAACTCTATTTTAAAAGGAGTCAAAAAAGATAACTATAGGCCAGTGACCTTAAGCTCTGTTCTTGGGAAAATGTTAGAGGCTCTTGTAAGGATGTAATTACAGAGCATTTAGAAATGTATAACGTGATCAAGCAGAGTCAACATTGCTTCAGGGGGAAATCATGCCTAACAATTTTTTTAGAATTCTTTGAGGAAGTAACAAGCAGGATTGATAAAAGGGAAACAGTGGATGTCATACATTTGGATTTACAGAACATGTTTGATGAGCTGCCACACATTGGGCTACTAAATAACTGTCCATGGTGTGGAGAAGATATATTAGCATTGATAGAGGATTGGCTAACTAGGAGAGGTCAGAGAGTTGGGATAAGGTAGGGAATTTTCAGGATGGTAAACTCTAAATAGTGGTGTGCCACAGGGATCAGTGCTGGGGCCACAATTATTTACAATATGTATAAATGACTTGGATGAGCAAAAGTACTATAGCCAAGTTTGCAGATGACACAAAAAATAGGTGAGAAGTTTGAAAATTGTTGAATTCAACTTTATTTATTTAATAAAAAATAAACCAGAGCAGGATCTGTGATCACTAAAGAGACGATGAAGTTGTTGGGTTGTCATCATAATCCAGCTGGTTCATTTGGCCTGCTGTGTTCATCCAGCTCTACACCTTGTTATCTCAGATTCTCCAGCATCTGCAGTTCCTACTATCTCTGGTTCATTCACACTGTTTACCCTGTTTGGTCTATATATAATCCCAGTCCTACGTCACTATCAATACCATCCCCTGCCCAAGCCCCCACCATGTTTGACTTTGAAACTGCTTCTGAAGTTCTCCAGTGAGGTTTATCAAATTCTCCTGCAAAGCAAAATGAAGCTTTACAGATGACCAGATAAAAAGTTCTCCCTTTTTTGTAATTGTGTTCTATGAACTATTAACAATACAGGGATCGCTCCATCAAACAGCAGGTAGGAGAGCAAGAGAGAGAAGGAGAACTGTGCTGGCTCTGGATCAGGAGTTGATCCTCTGTGGAGTATGCTCTTGTCAAATGTGTCTGGAATCTGAAGTCACAGGCCATTGACTGAGACGAAAGCCAAACATTTCGACATGAAGTTCTGACAGGATGAAAGTCTCCTTTGTCAACTGTGAAGGTTCTGCATGAAATGAATTCGGGCAATTGCTCAACCCAGTTACTAATGGGCAATGGGCCAAGGGACAAGCTGCCCCAAAGCTGCCAGGGTGTGAAAACCGTGGGAAATAGGCAGACGTCACACTGTTTTGGTGGAGTGGGATGGTTACAGAAAGACAGTGAGATTTGCCCTGCATCTAACCATGGTACTTAATGCCTGCACTGGAGAATTATCTCATTCTCCACCTCTGACAGGCATCAGCACTGTAGCCAAAAAGCACACACACCATGATGTCATTTTAAAAACCTCTTTCTGGAAAAGCGTTTCTAAGGAACAGGGTCTGGCAATGAAATGAACCCATGTTTGGAACAGGTAGAGCAATCACAAATTGGCAGGAATGAAGGAACCAAGGAACGATGTCAAAACAAGATGTGGTAATAGCTGGAGGAGAACCATATGCCCCTTGAACAACTTCCCTAACGGATGAAAGAGAACTCAAACCTGTACTGAATTGCTGGGGAAAAGAAAAATCCCTCAGACTGTTCAGAAGTGTATTAAAGCCATTTCTGAAGTCTGGACGTGTACTGGAGGAATCTTGGCCACCAGTTCACTCAGAAAATCATCAGTCTTTGGAGACAAACTACATGAAGGGACAGAAAATATTGGTGGGAGTTGCTCAGTGATCCCCCTGACAGCATTTGTCACATGGAAATCAGGAAATTAGATGTCCATGTAATATTGGTGGCTTTGGGGACTTTAAGTCTCACATTAAATGGAAAAGCTAAACTTGTATAAGCATGGAGGATGGGGTCAGGGAAAGTATGCAGGATAATACTGAGGTGTCCACTAGGAAATAGATTATTTTGGGTCAAGTATTTTGCAATGATAGGAGGTGTCATTAATAGTCTTGTAGTAATGAGGCATCCAGGGAATAAGTGACAATAATATGATAGAATTTCATAAAGATTTGAAGTAAATTAATTAAGTTTGGAATTAATATTTTCAATCCAAATGCAGAAAACCACCTATGGACGATGATATTGTGATGAAAGGTTTACAGTATACATTATCATTTTTGGAATTTGGATACTAAAATAGAAACAAAGGGATTTTGGTCAGTTCTTTGAAGACTTTTCTTTAAAGAAAAGGTTGGAAAGTCACTCTGGAACAGTGACCTAAATGCATTATTGCTGACAAAATATATGGTGCAGTCAAGTGTCTAACAGAACACCGATGGTGTTGTTATTGGAGAGGATGTTAATACTTCTGAGTTTCCCTTAGCATTCAGGAGAACTAGGCACCTCAGCAAGTATGTCCTCATCTGTGAAACCTCCAAGATGGAAAAACTTGTACAGCCATCTTTCAGTTATTAGGACTGAGAAAATTTAAGCCCTCAGAATGGTGAAATGTTCATACCAGTACACTTGGAAATAAATTGTGAAAATTGTGCAGTTTTTTTTTCTTCATTCATGGGAAGTAGGTGCCACTGGCACGGCCAGCAGTTATTGCCCATCACTGTTACATTGCGGTGGGTCTGGAGTCACACACAGGCCAGGTGGATAAGGATGTTAGATTTCCTTCCCTAAAGGACATTAGTGAACCAGATGGGTTTCTTTTTCCTGACAATTGATAATGGGTTTATGGTCATCATTAGACTTTTAATTCTGGATATTTTTTTTAAATTGAATTCAAATTCCTCCATCTGCCATGGTAAGATTCAAGCCCAGGTTCCCAGAACATTACCTTGGACTCTGATTAATATTCTAGCAATAATTCCACTAGGCAATCACATCTACCCAGAGAGGAAAAAAAGCTGGAAAGAATCAATTAAGCAGAAACTTAAAGAGTTGGGAGAGGAGGAAAATTTCTCTGGACTTGAGTCTCTAATGGGTCATGTAGCGAAATAGGTTGAGGCTTTGCTTTCGCTTCCAATTTCCACCCTGCTCTCACTTTCACCTGGTCCATCTCTGACTCCTCCCTTCCCTCCCTTCCCTTCCTCGACATTATTGTTTCCATTTCTGGGCTTAGGGTGGCCACCATATCCAATATAAACCCACCGACACCCACAGTTACCTTGACTATACAACCTCAGACACAGTTTCCTGTAAAGAACCTATTCCATTCTCCCAGTTTCTTCATCTCCATCGCATTTGTTCTGATGATGGCAATTTTGACAAGGGAGCTTCTGAAATGTCCACCTTCTTCCTCAATTGAGGATTCCCCAGCACTTTGTTGACAGGGCCCTCAGCTGGGTCCAATCCATCTCCCATACTACAGCCCTCACCCCCTCTCTTCCCTTCCGCAACAGCAATAGGGAACCCCTTGTACTCACCTATCACCTAGCACCCACCAGCATCCACATTCAGAAGATCATCAGACACCATTTCCACCACCTCCAGTGGGATGCCACCACCAGACACATATTGCCCTTCCCTCCCTTGTCAACCTTCCACAGGAACCATTCCCTCCGGGCCACTCTGGTCCACTCTTCCTTCACTCCCAACACCCCCTGACAGCCCACGACACCTTCCCCTGCCCCAGGTGTAACAGCTGCCCATTTACCTCCTCCCTCTTCAGTATCCAAGGACCCAAACTTACCTTCCAGGTGAAGCAGCAGTTTACCTGCACTTCCCATAATCTGCTCACAATGTGGTCTCCCCGATACTGGCGAAACGAAATGTAGACTGGGTGACTGTTTTGCAGAATATCTATGTTCTGTTCCGCAAAAATAACCCTGAGCTTCCAGTTGCCTGCCACTTTAACACACACCACCCTGTTCCCTGGCCAACATCCCTGTCTCAGGCTTGCCGCAGTGCTCCAGCAAATCACAGCACAAGCTGGAAGAACAGCACCTGATTTTCTGCTTGG